AAAGATTACCATTATGTAAAAAAAGTTCCAAAAAACGGAAAAAATAAAAAATCCTCCGAAATGAGACAAAAAACGCAGTTGTCGATATTCACCCTTGTCTATGATTTTTTGTTTATTAAGATTCAATACAAGGTTGATACCAAATTTTGAAACAAAACTGTCATAGCTTTGGCTACAGATGATAGCCCAGATGTAAGGGGCATCGCCTATACATTTAACTCGGCCAAGGCTCAAGTAGCAAGTTTTCAAAAAATGGCTAACTCGGAAAGTGTTTTAAAAATTTGGTATTCAATGTAGCTTTATTTACGTGCAACTGCTAAAAGTGTAGTTTATTATTGTTTGCAGGAAAGTTCGCAAAGTAGGTAAATAAAATTCAGTTCTGAGTTGGAGACTGTAATAATGCACAACATTTTACTCCCAGGCAAACTTCAAAGTTATTGATAAATATTATACAAAACAAACGTACGTGTGAATAAATATCATACAAAACAAACGGACCACCCCACCTTGTAAAATCGTGGAACATACATGGGGGTGATTCCTTCGACGTCACTCCTTGGGCCACCCTGTATAAAAAACCTAGCCCAATCCGATGTACGTTCAAGTTGATAAACGGTTTCTCAGTAAGCGTAGAACTTGTCGCCCTTTGTCCAGATGGACAGATGACAAAAGGAAGGCGACTGGATGGCAAAAGTGAGAACTCGGACATAATGACACACCCTGAGGTGGACTGCATGCACTGCACTGCGTCCAGAAGTGAAATGCAATATGTGGTGTAGAGCGTACAGAAATATTTATTATGTTGAAATGGGAACTTTTCTTTTACAGCTGTAAACCTAGTACTTAGTAAAATCATCGATAGATGGCGCTAGCAACAGAAGCATATCAAAACTAGCATACAAACAATACCTTTTCCTATGCATTTCATAACTACCAAAACGTTTTCACTTTCACTTTCAGTACTTAGTAAAATCATCGATAGATGGCGCTAGCAACAGAAGCATATCAAAACTAGCATACAAACAATACCTTTTCCTATGCATTTCATAACTACCAAAACGTTTTCACTTGCTCGTAAAACTGACTTACTGATTTGATTGTCATTCATGAATTAAATGATCGTTGTCAAAAAAGACCAGTGGTTAGTCAATCAGCGCCATCTATCGATGATTTACCTAACTAACAACAAAGTACCAATTTTAACTTTTTAATAGCTGTCAGTAAAGGCCTATTGTTAAAAATTGGATCGAAATTCCCTCTTTTGTAGTCTGTTACATATAACAGTATACAAACTGTGACTAACCAAGTTGTGCACAAGTTGTATGAGGTGCATCGCTCACTTTGACACTTTTTGAACATGAGATAGAGTTTGTTAGTTAACTTTACACTACGACGTAAATGCCACAGGGAATTAGGTAAGTGTAGACGAGTAACCCATTTAAAGAAACAATTTACATTCGTTACTGTTAGTGGCAAGCTAGAAAAGACGTGCGACGCAACGGCAAACATGATATCTGCCAGACAAGCGATCGTCAGCCGTTATCGATGGGACGCGCGTCTCACGTGTGTTGCTTTGTTTTGTTCATTTTTATATATTTTATATGGAAACGGTTTTAAGGTTCTTGTTCAATAGATGCCATCTAACGTCTCACGTCTACTCTGTGGAGCTTGCGCCGGATTGTACGAAAAACCCTTAGATTATAGACACCTACATAAGTAAACTAAAGAGTGCGCGTATCGCCCTGCGCGCGCCGTACTGTCATGCCAAAGCAATATTTCTATAGACACCTATCAAATGTAGGAGAAATATACTTAAATGTCTATTAGTGCTGTCACTGGCGTATTGCTTTGCTACTGACGGAAAGAGAAATTGTGTTCGTACTAAAATTGCATTTTATTTGATGTAGATCTGAATAGCGTAGTGTACAAAAGTAACTATATCAAGTAATCAAGTCTCGTTTCATATTTGAACCGGAATACATTTCACGTGGACTCATTAAAACCACATTCAACATGTTTGTCCTTCAACACAAATTAAACATGGGAGCTGAATTTTATTAAAAACCATCAAAGGGTTGCATCCGCTGATAAGTGTTTTCCTTAGTTGTAATAATTAAACTTACAAACTTTTCTTTAGAATCATAATATTTTTTAAAACTGCATTAAATCCGTTGCGTGGTTTTGTCAGGCAACCAGAGGAAAGCAATAAGGGAATTTATTTTACAACGCATTACAGAACAGCCAATAAAGCCGATAAGATGTCAAGTTACTCATGAAGCTGAACAATTTTCCCCATGGAACATGGTTCGAAATATGAAAAAAAAATTGGACCTCCCATTAACTTAAATTAGCTAATCGGCAGATTTGTATAGGAGGTCCAAATTTTTTTCATATGTCGACCTATTTTCTATGGGGAAAGTTGTTCAGTTTCAAAAGTACCTTGTTAACTTTTCAGTTTTATTTGTCGTTTTGTAACACCCAGTATATTTCACGTGGACTCATTAAACCCACATTCAACCAACATGTTTGTCCGAGCGAAAACTGCACGAGAATTGCATTTTATTAAAAACTAGCGGCCCGCCCAGCGGGTGAATTTACTGATAATGGTTTTCCTGTGAGAATAAGAGCCGGCATGTATTAGGCTTACAAACCTTTTTCTTGATATTTTAAGAAACTGCATCAAATCATATCATCAAGAGTGGTTTAGCAGTCACAATGATTCACAGACGAATAGTGAAACGCATTATTGTGAATTTATTTTATACCTTCTATGTATTATGATAATGATGTAAGTTATTAGTGTTACAGCGGAGCAAGCATTAAATAAAAATTGAAATCGTCTCTTGATTTTTGCAAAAAAAGATGCGGTATGTTTACCGACAAACTACGTTTTGTATACGCCACATTGTCGTAATCTCCGTGGTATTGGCATGTCATATTTTAGCTGAATCTGACAATACCAATTAAAAAAAACATACGGTGCGGTGTGATAATAAGTGCTATGGTATCCGGCTGTTGAATAGGATTTCGTGAATTTTTTTGGTTAAAAAATCCGGACCTGGCAAAATAATGTGGAAACCGCCTTTCAAGTGGATATATTAAACGCTCATTCAACATTTTTGTCCGGGCGATACACGGGAACTGCATTTTATTAAAATGTCCAGCATAGCAAATATTAAATTGCAATTAATTTGTGTTGGTAGGTAGGTAGTTGATAATGTGTTTTTAATTACGTTTTTTGTAAACATTTTTCAGTTTTAAAGTTTAATGGAAGTGACTAGAGAATAAGCATAACTGTTTGAATATGCCATATTTGACAGCTGTCAAACCTATACATAAAGACAATAAAAATACCCTAAGTTATGATTTATTAACATGATTTCCGGCAGCTGTCAAATATGTCCAATTCGAACGGCAGTACTGTAGATACCTATTCCTATATCAGATATACACGGTTTCTGTTCACTTCGCGTTTTGCAAGACTTTTACCTTAGGTGGTTTTTTTAATATCCTTCAAAATCCTATCCAAAAATCGGATATCATTCATTTAGTGCGGTCACACACCGCAATGTCGTTCGGTGGGTATGCGATTTACCTGTAAGCTGTTTAAAATGACGTAGTAGTAGATTTGCTACGTGCTACGAAATGTCTACGTACCTGCTACGAAATATCTACGAGATCAAAACGATTGCACTCGAAAGAAAAGTGTGGACAAGAGCTACCTTTTATTTAGGCAAGTCCCACACGTAACGTCCGTTTTTGCGCAACACTAACGCATGCGTCTATCAGATGCATGCAACATCTATCAAATACAAACGCTACGCAAGTTTCTGTACTGCTGTGCACTGTTGCGTTGTTTTGACGTAAGTTTTTAGTATGCTTCTGTCAGATATTGTATGCATTTGACACACACATGCATTTGAGCTAAAAAGGCACAACAACATTACAGACGTTACATGTGAGCATCAAGTACTAGGGGAAAATCTCAGCTATAAAATTGTATTATATTACATTTCCTTCCAAACGAATGAGCCTCACGGGACGCATGCATCAACTCCTCGACGTTTCAAGTTAGATTATTGATAGAACAGTCAGAAATACTCCGTAGTATTGAGAACTATTAGAAACTATTGATACAGAGTTTTCTGTATTATTTTTGTATGTACTTCTACTACAGCTACAACAAAATAATTCAACATAACTTATTCTTTAAAAAAAACGGTGACCTGATCCTAATAAAATACCTATACGCACAATGTCCTAACTCTTATTGACCTAAACGCGTACGTAGGTAACGATCTAAACTAATAATAACCTAAACGCCTAATGACTAAAGAACACATATATGATAAGGACAAAAAGTTATGTATTGCTAATTTCAAAACTAGAAAAATGTACCTATGTTTTTGACATCTTCTAAACAAAAGATTAATGTTTCCAAGTTTAAGCTAGGTAAAGGACGAGATATCTATAAAGAACAGGGTTTTTAAGCGGTACTGAATCTATAGATTTTAAGGTATTTTACGCATTTAAATTAACATCCTGTATAAGTAATGATGATCTTAGAATTTATGGTTCGATGTTCGATGGCATACCGAGATTTATTGCATGATATATTGCCTATAAAATTGACAGGACTGACATGATCTTCGCAATAACTTTAAATACTCTCAGCGGATTTGAATCTTGAGATTGTCCCATAAATGGCTCTGAAAATTGTATTCCTATTTTGCATAGATCATCTTCGAAATCTATATAAAAACCTAACTTAAACTGAAGCGTTGAGTGCAGATGTTGTAAAAAGAATTAAAGATAAAAACTTAAATCAATAGGAACCGAGCAATTAGCTCTAACTAAATAAATCAAGTCTATTTAAGAAAAAAGAAACTTAGTTCAGAAACTATCCTCAATGGAAAAGTTGGAAGAAAAGGTACGCCCGCTTTCTGAGAATTGACAACGACAGAATTGTGGAAGAACGGTTCACTCACACACGTACCGGATGATATGGCGCAGTGGTTGTGTGACTGCCTGTGACGCAGAAGGTTCCGGGTTCAATTCCCGGTGGGTGGGTCAATAACAAAGTTGATATTTATCTCTTTGTGAATTTGTTCCCAGTAACTAAGGCAATGCAATGTCCTAAACATTGCAGACTGAACCTGATTGTCCGAAAAGTAAGATGGTTCCGTGCTTTGGAGGGCCCGTGAAGCTTGAAACAGTTTCCATATAAAGAGCATTTTTTGACGCCTACACCTGTGAGACTCGTATTTCATCGCCCATGGCTGACGCCGACGGCGTCTCTTTTTTACATAATTTTTACAAGGAATCAAATGTCGCGCAGTCTTACGTCTCACCGTCTCACGAGTCACGTTTTTTTGACAGTTGTCATCTTTCGTCTCACGTATGTAGACAGCTTCAAGTTGATGTTCACACTCCGTCATGTGCCATATTCGGAATTTGGTTGAAACATGTTCTTCAGAAACATAACCCTCTTTCTGAGGTATTCGGGAAAATACCGGAACCGCAATAAAAAAAACAGGGAAACCATGTGGAGCGTGTGACAACCGCCAAAGACATTGAAAAGTGTTTTATTGTCTTAACTGCGAACTTCCCTGATAATAATGAAAGAAGAACAGTTGAGTTCACTTTTGTCTAGATTTTAAGCCGCGATTCCATTATACAAGTCTTACATGCAACTATGACGTCACGCTTGCATACAAATTCCTTGCATTGGAAACCTCTCATGAACCTTGCGTGCAAGATTTTATTGGCAGGCAAGGACATATTTGAGTCAGACAGATTTATTTTCAATTCGCAACTGGCACTTCCGCGTGCAGCTTGTATGACACTTGCATACATAAAAATCCGCATGCAACTTGATATAATAGAACTAGCGAACATAATAGGATTGCGCCTTTAAATTATGCGAGTAGCTTGCGTGCAAAATCCAAGTTGCATGCCAGAATTAAACATGCCTGCAAGTCGAATGAAAAAGTAACTTGTATGCAAGCGTCATACTTGCAAGCAAGACTTGCATAATGGAATCGTGGCTTTGAAGTTTTATATTCAATACGCGTTAAACTTCAACATTTATCTAACTTTTTTGTGGTGAGGCCCGATTTAAAGTTGACAGCCAACATATTGCCCTCGTCAGCTTTTCACCGCGTTTATCAAACTCACTTTAGATTATAAACAAAATATCCATAAATAATTCAAATGTCACTTAAACTTGCGCCCAACTTTTGAATACAAACAACGCAATGTTTATATCGGCAAAATAGGTAAGGAGGTAGCGACATGAAACCAAAGTTAATAATAATATTTTCAGAATCTAAGCTTGTGGTAAGGCGCTTTATACACCTCTCATTACGTCCGTTTCGACGTTAGGAAATAAAAATACGGGTCAGGGGACGCATCCCCGGATTGTGTTTTGTTTTTTGCATCTGAACAGGCGAGAAGAAAAGTTTTTTTGATTTATCAATGTATCAAGAGTTCAAGAGTTCTGAATAAATTGTAGCTATAGGTAATTTTCCATGAGATGCAGACTTAGAATAGCATGGCCATATCCTGTGGGTGTCGTAAAATGCGACTAAGGGATATATCTACCGAGCAGCATTCCTTGTGAAAACTATCACACTTGCTCGCCGATTAGCCTGTCAATCGTGATGAGTTTGGCAAATCAAATAGGGAGAATCCATGTTCAGCATTGGACTACTGCGGCGGTAGACAACACCAACATCAACTGCCACTCGGACAACGAATATCAAATCTTTATGGAGAAACTAATAAAATAAAATGCTTACTTACAAATATCTTTAATTTTAATCTACTTCTTAATATTTACAAATCTAATCTAAAACTTAATATTTACAGCTAGGTATATTATATTACAATATAATTAATTCAATTTTTTTATTATAATATTTTCAGCAAGTGTTTTCAAAAATTCTCGTATCCCGATTTCCTTTTGTCGGTACTGGGATGTCCACAGGCATATATTTCTATCATTTTCCACGCTTTTAGGTTTCCTGTGACTGATGGGAATCTGATTTTGCCGAAAGCTGCAGAAAAAAAAGTATACATAAATAATTTAGCTAAAAACAAAAAATAATGACGAATTATCTGATTCGGTTGTTTTCGGGTGCGGTATCGAAGGGATATCTTCGTTCATCAGTCTGTCTATCATTATAAAGTTATAAAGGTAATTAAGAATGTTATTATTACCTAGCTTGACAAATATCGTATGATGAAATGTCCAGTTCAATCATGTCCAAAAGGAACATCAGGGTTGGGTTGCTACCGACGTACTGCTGGAGGCGCTGATTCCATGCTTCTACTAGGTTGGTTGTCCTATGGCGCTCTCCATGGCAGCACCATTTTGCGATCATGTCGGGGTCCTCCAGCCATTGTGTCACAAAGTAATCGTTAAATTTTATGACTCGTTCTTCAGTTGAGCTAGAATAAGATAGGTAAAATTTTATATTATTGTGTCATACCTAATATCAAAAACAGGCATTTAAATTAAAACAGTTAGGTATCTTTGTCGTGTGGTGCCGGCTTAGAATAGCATCATCCCATATCTTTTCCGTGGGTGTCGTAAGAATCTACTAATTTGAGAGTTGATGTGTATTGCAATTTTTGGGGACAGGCTGATAACCTGTCACTATGATGATACGCGGTCTTCTGATTGACAATTAAACTTTTGTCAGAGGTGGTATAAATAGCCTGTCTACCCCGCGATAGAGTATAATTTTTATAGTTCTATTGCCAAAGTCTTGGTAAATGTTTACCTACTAAGTAACCATAATAATGTGTGCAAAACGTGAAAGACTTTAACAAATGAACTATGTTTCGTTTAAAACGCTCATTATATAGGTAAGTATAGCAACAAATAATATTACCTGTCTTCCATGATAGTCAGCCAACCATCTTCCACATCTTCTTTTACAAGGAGAGCTAGACTCGCACATAACTTGACGTGTTCTGTCGTGGTTTCATGCGCCAAAAGCCCTAAACTCTGCGCCTTCCTAAATAAACTTCTCTGGAAGTGAATGAAGCAGCCTCGTATAACGGCGTCGGGAAAAACGTTTTGAATAGCTCTTAAAGCTGAGGCTTCGAAATCCAGCGTAAATTTGGCTGGATTGAATGCCGGAACCGCTTCTTTTATTTTTTTAAACATGACTTCATAAGTCGCAGTCTCTTTGTTGGTTAAAAGGACATAAAACAGAGGCACAATATTTGTGCTCGTCTCAGTGCTACCCAGGTCCCCATGGATGGTATATAATTGTGAGAATGGTGCTGAGCAGCAATCAAAAGTACCATCACAAAAGTAGTGCTGTATGCCCACAACGTGCTGGTGGATTTTAGTGGACGCAAAGATGAGCACACGTCCATTTACTTTGCAGTCAACCAGCAGCACTGGTTTATATTTGTTGGGTATTACCACATCATCGGCGCTTTTAAATATGGTTTTAGGCACACCAAGATATTCATTCCTCGCTTTAAAAAATTTCTTTTTGATATCTTGGTAGCTTGGAATTATGTCACCTTCTTCGTATTTTAACTCCTTTAAATTTCTTTCATAAATTTTTTTTATGCTTCCCATATCAAGACAAACGTCTTTGCACGTTTTTTGTACGACTTCTGAAAAATTATTCGATTTATTGGTTGGTAATCCTGGTTCGCATTGCGGAGAATGTTTGTGTACGATCTCTGCACAGTCTATATCAATTTTTAATTTTATGGTGCCACAGCACTTAATCGACGTCTTCTTTCGCACGCAGGTCCATACAATATTGTTTAAAGTTTCTGTGTGTTTATGGTACACGAAGCCGGCGTGGTGCAGATTGAAACCACCCTTCTTATTTTTAATTAACTCGTAGTTTCGAGATCTTCCTTGGGATGGGCCTTCACCCGCCATTTTTAGTAAATAAATGAGCAATGATTTAAAATGAATGCGCAAATTTGACGTTCGAATTTTAAAATGTAGTTGAAAGTTCATTTGCTTTTTATTGTTAAATGGTTGCAGCCAGTTATTTGTAAAATGTACAATACATTCTATGAAATTCCATAATTATTGTATTGTTTTTTACGGATGGAGTAGTAGGTAAACATGCAGACATTTACCTTTTTCCTCAACATTTCAAACATATTGCACTGTTCGGGGTTGCGAGTGGACTGATTCCATAATTACGTAATTTTATAGAATTCACTACTAGATTAAATCTAAATTAAATTCTACTTTTCATGGGCTACAACTAACAGAAACTTACCTTCCTATTTTAAAAATTTGTATGGGTGCCCTAGGTAGGCAAATAATATTGTAGTGTTTCTGTACTTACAACTGCGATCGCCGAACAAAACAACGATTTAGGTAACGATTGGGAATAATGGAAATAGGTAAAAACTATCAAGACTAAACATGCACAGAATTTCTTAAGCTTTTATTGTCCAATACAACAATATAAAACGCACCATTTTCAAAATGTAATCAGAAAAACAAACATATTTGTGATTTCTCCACGACGGCGCCCAGCCTAAAATTAGTATGTTTGTCTCCCTAATAACCAAAACAAAGTTCCGTCGAAAAATGTTGTAGTTCAAGATTTTCGAAAAAGCTAACGTACCTGTGCACAAATTTACTACTCTATCCAGCCTAACTTCGATAAAGTGTCATCCTTCGCCGCTAATACACACTTAGGTACATACTAAAATCTCGAACAACATTACCTACCTTCCTCTTGAGGCAGTCGATCAATAGAATATTTAGTTCCTTTCACATTTCACTTTCGTATGTGACGATACAAAAACAAAACACGATCCGGGAATGCGTCCCCTGACCCAAAAATACAACGACTCATGCCCAACTTTGCGTTGACCAAGCGTTGACGGACGCGTCTGTCAAATTGAGTTGTCATTGAAATTAAAATTGACAGGACAGGATACATTTCGGGAAGTGTGACAGTCTCTCCAAGACCTGATACCTCCATCACCATTCCATCTCCGGTGCACCAGACGACGTTTGGGATTCCACCCTTATATCGCAGACATCCCGCAAATTCGCACAAAGCGCTTCGC